CAATATTTCTTGTACTAGGACAATTCAAAGGTCACAAAGTGTGCAAACTTTCAGGATATCCAGATTTTTTCATGGGGGATGAAGTCCTCAAGCAGACTGAGATGACAGCAGGAAAACAACAACCACTGATTTGATATCAAAAACCTAAAATCTGTTCAAGAAAAATGGAAACCGCTTCTAAAGCAGCCATGTGAATCTTGCAAAACATATAGTTGCTTTAGCAATTTGAAAAGTTATGCATTTCAACTCCTGGATGGTGCAAAGAACTTCTTTTAAATCTTTGCATAGTCCTAACCACAGGAAGAAGACTCCTGCGAGTCCCTTGGACTGCAAGGCGATCAAACCGGTCAGTCCTAGAGGAGATCAACCCCGACTGCTCTTTAGAAGGCCAGATCCTGAAGTTGAAACTCAAATACTTTGGCCACCTAATGAGAAGGAAGGACTCACTGGAGAAGGGCCTAATGCTGGGAAAGATGGAGGGCAATAGAAGGAGGGGACGACAGAGAATGAGATGGCTGGATGGAGTCACTGAGGCAGTAGGTGTGAATTTAAATGGACTCCAGAAGATGGTAGAGGACAGGAAGACCTGGAGGAACATTGTCCATGGGGTCGCGATGGGTCGGACACGACTTCACAATTAACAACAACAACAACAAAACCACAGGCAACATTGTACACCCTTATGGATAAAGTATCAAGGTAAATTGGCATTTCTTCCAGACCAAAGGATTGTTTTTTTTCTTTTTCTTTTTTTAATCTGACAGCTCCTGCAAAAGCAAAGATAAAAGGACTAAGTTTCCTCTGAGTTTGGAAGCATAGTTGTTCTTACAAGGAAGGCTAGAGGATTTGTTTGGCTTCTCAGTTTCAAACCTTTCCTATGAATTTAGAGGTCCAGAAGACGATCTCAGCAGATATACAACTGGTTTAACCGAAATCACAAACTTAGCTCCAGATGCTTACTTATACTTTAACCAAACAACTGCATTCTGTTTCCTGTCTCAGCTAAAATGAGGGAAAGTGAATACATCAATATTACAAAGCTGTGTTTAATAACTTTAATATACCCAAAGGCGGCCATATCAGGACTGCCACCACATTCATTCATGCACATGCAGATATTTTATTCATGCATACATGTAAACTTCCAAAATGATTGGGAAGAGGTTTTCCGGACCTCTTGTGAACATAACATCTGTTTGCTATTCAAAGAAGCAGCTCAAATTTGTCCTTACAAACCTGAAAAATAATTGCTTCTGCTTTAATAGTCACATTAATATTAATACCCTTAACAATGACAATATGTTTGTTATTTATTTTATTATTCTCACATTTATAGATTTCTATCTTAAGGTGGCTGGTCAGTATGATAAGGCCATTAGTTTAAGGCAGAGGTTTTCAACCTCAGGAACTTTAAGATGCATGGGCTTCAACCCCAAGCATTCCCCAGCCACAAGGGAAACTGTGGGAGTTGAAATCCACGCATGTAAAAGTTGCTGAGGTTGAGAAACATTTCTTTAAGGAATCGACACATACCAAAATGCAGATGTTGCTCTAGCTGTTTGTATGTAATGGGAAAGGAGTCTCTTTCTCACTCACTCAAACACATATACACACCCTTACTCAGAATCCCATTTATGTACCCTGTCATTTGCCCTTTCCCAAGAAGGAGGCACTGCAATTGGCAACGGTGGCCAGAGTTGATGATTAAAAACAATTCATCAAAACACACAAACTGACTGAGCACTGCAAACCTTTCAGCCTTCCAAAGTTCCTGGTTTTGACTCCCGGTCTAATATGGAGTCTAATTGGCTTAATCTTTCTAGCATGACCGATAGTTTTAGTCATCAAATAGAACATTTCTTCCCTGAAGATTCCATGAATTTGGTTCACCACAAACAACTTCCATGTTCATTTCTACGTCTAGCCCCGAATTCTCATACTAGGTCACTCTTTTTGAATCAGGTCAGTGCCTACATTAATAAGTTTATAGAGTGGGATAGGGGAGTCCACTCAGCCTGATTTTTTAATTGCTGTTTCTGAGTTTAATGAACACGTAACTGCCAAGAAACATCAGCAGTGGACCGCAAGATCCTTGGTCAGTTTGTTGATTTATTAAAGCTCAGGATTTCCAGTTTAAAAGACCTGCTTTGTCCCTGATTTATTTGATTGTTTTCTTGCAATTTCAGCTTGGTGGAAAAGTGACAGACCTCAAAGTGGCATGCAGGATGTTTTTAAAATGAACGGGGGCGGGATCTACCAACAGTTCTGAAATCTAATTGGCAAGTTCACATGGGATTAATTGACAAATAGGCAGCTAGATTCAGCAATATAATTATGCACTCCCCTTGAGTAATAACTATTTGGGGCTATTTGGTTGATGAGCTCCTGCATTTCAGAAGGTACCATCACCTGGGAAACAGGGAATACAGTATACCTGTTTCCCCCTCTCCAGGTCTTAGCAGCTTTGAGTCTTCTGCCACAATTAAAGAAGAGAAGGACGAGGGGGGGACATGATAGAAGTGTTCCAATATCTCAGGGGCTGCCACAAAGAAGAGGGAGTCAAGCTATTCTCCAAAGGGCCTGAAGGCAGCACAAGAAGCAATGGATGGAAACTAACTAAAGAGAGAAGCAACCTAGAACTAAGGAGAAGTTTCCTGACAGAACAGTTAATCAGTGGAACAACCTGCCTCCAGAAGCAGTGAATGCTCCAACACTGGAAGTTTTTAAGAAGAGACTAGACAGCCATTTGTCTGAAATGATTTAGGGTTACCTGCCTGAGCAGGGGGTTGCACTCAATGACCTCCAAGGTCCCTTCCAACTTTATTATTATATTACATATTATTATATTATATTATTATATATTATATTAATTCTGCCTTCGTTTCAATGAAGTTCAGCTGCGGCTTGATGTTCTTTCTGAGGGATGAAATGTCTCTTGCTTTGCAAACTCCAGTGAGCATTTTCAGATCACAAGCAGGTTGCAACTGCCCAGCTGATGCTTTATGAAGCATCTCAATGCTCCTTCTAGCTTGACTGATTTCTCAGCATTGAAACAGGAGGTTACTTTCGCAGAGGCAGGAGTGCCAAGTAGAAAACAACAAATCTCTTTTCATCCTTCCTCATAGGGGTGAGAGGAGGGAGGAAAGGGCTAGGAGGCATCACCTCCTTTCTCCTTTCTTGAGAACCAATTACTGGAGTCTTTGGGGATTTTTAATTATAAACAGGAGCAGGACCTCTCGCCCTGATTAGGGGAAGCAGGGAGACAATGGCTGAGGTCGTGTTTGCTTTTCATTCTGGATTAAGGATCTTTCATTGTTTCCAAAGCTCATACTGTAGATGATAGCCTTGAGGATAATTAGTCTGAATTTTGCCTGTGCTCCTTTTATACTTTGCTTCTCCCCCTCATTTCCCAGAGTACTCCCTTGTATGGACATGTAACACAAACTCCTTAGTTTTCCTTCTATCAAGTTCTCTTGTGGGTTGTGCATCTCTGGATCAATTTCACCTGGCATGAACTTTGGTTCCCACTAAGAAGAGAGAGTAGCAATAGTACTTAGATTTATATACCGCTTCATAATTCTTTACAGCCCTCTCTAAGTGGTTTAGAAAGTCAGCCTATTGCCCCCAACAATCTGGGTCCTCATTTTACTGACCTCAGAAGGATGGAAGGCTGAGTCAACCTTGAGCCGTCAGGATTGAACTCCTGGCAGTGGGCAGAATTAGTTTGCAATACTGCATTCTAACCATTGTGGCATCACGGCTCTATAAAAGAACCTTCCATTTCATTGTAGCACTGTCTCAAGTCAAGCAATATTCCTATGGAAAGTATCTTCCAAGTTCTAGAAAATGATTATGAATAGGCTACACAATGTAAACCAAGAGACATAGAAGTAGAAATATTTTAGCATTAGTTGTGTAGCTTATCGGGTTGGGATCTCCAGCATTTCTGGTCTTGGGCGAGCATTTCAATGTCTTGCCATGTGATGTTTAGAATCTTTAAGTCTTCCATGAATGTTCTTTGCCATGTATTTCAAGGGCATCCTCTTGGTCATTTGGCATGGGTGTGTGTGTGTCTGTTCCATCTCATTGCCATCTTGGGGATTTGATTGTTTTCTTTGCAGAGAATATAACCTGCAAATGGGAGTCTTCCGTGTGTGACAATGTTATGTAGTTTACAGGAAAAATTCTGTAACTTTTGGGAGAACTAGAATGCTGGTATATTACTGATGAATGATGTCAATGTATACGCAGATGCTGCTCTACTTATGACCATTTGATTAACAATGGTTCAAAGTTACAACAATGGTGGAAAAAAGTACTGTATTTAAGGCCCATCCTCAAAGTTGTGGCTGTTGTACCACCCCCCATGGTCACGTGATTGTTATGTGGGCAACCGGCTCTCATATACTACATTTGCAACATCTTCAGGTCAGGTGATCCTGACCCACCTACTTTCATTTCCCTCTTTCCCCAGTACTTTCTCTGCATTTGCTCCCACCTTCTTGCTACTGTAATTTCCTCCCTTTCACCCTATGGCAAATTATTCCCCCCCAGACTATGATGCCTAATCTTGAAACGAGCATAAAACAAAGTTGGTCAGTTAAAGGAGAATGGGTCCTAAGTGAAAGCTATTCTGAATTTACGGATTCAGCATTCACTTGAAGCCAGGTTCTTCGGCCATGACCTTACTCATAATGCAGTGCCTTTGCATCTGTATGAACATATCTGCCAAACTATCTTTCCTACTCCTATTTGATTTATTCTGATATGTGCATTTTGGTGGATTTATATGCCAAACAACATGAGCTGGAGAATTTCCCAAATGTCTGGAGCCCAATGAATAGTTGCTTTAATTACCTCGAATGAGATCATGGAATAATTGGAATGCTCTGATGAATATTCTGCTAGGTAACTTACGCTCTCTCTCTCTCTCTCTCTCTCTCTCTCTCTCTCTCTCTCTCTCTCTCTCTCGCTGTCTCTCTCTGTGGTTTTACTTTCAGGTGTAACATGGTAGAGAGACATCATGGACCACTATGCTTCTTCTCCCCTCTTTTGCTTCTCATGCGTGTTAAATGTCAGCCTCTAAAGTCATGCCATATGTTGTCTTCGTAGATATAAAAACTGAGAGGTGTAATATCTGTGCAATCATTAGTCATGCTGATGACAAGGCACAACCTGCTCACCAGAAACAAGACGCTCAAGCAATTCTTCGCAGCTGGAAATCCAACATCAAAAGAGTAAGTATGGTTTCAATGGAATGCAACAGTCTCCTTCAGTGACAGCGTTCTGTAAATAACATTAATGTACTTTGGCACTGTTCATGTCTCCGTGTTTCCTTTGTTCTCATGTAATAGGTAGCATTATTATTCACCCACTAGTTAAGCAAGAGCCAATTTTCAGACTACGAAGCTAAGGAACTCTTCTTCTTGAACACATTTGTGTAATTAGAACCGTTCCTGTGCCATTGGAATTTGAACCTTGCTGGAATCACATGGGGTTTTGTGTGTATGCGATCTGTCTTCTCTTTCTCACTATGCTTTGGACTTATTTATTTATTTCATCAATTCATATGGCCATCCATCTTGCAAATATGAATTGGGGCACCCAATGACATGCCAAAACTATAGGAAAAAGAATAGCAACAGAGAGTTCGGCCTTCAGTGGTTGCACAGGGCAAAATCAAACCGAACAGAAACAAACATCTCTCAACAGGCCATCTCACCTCCTGACCTTCTGTCTCTGGAGCACATCCAAGTCTTCAACACTGTATGAGATGCTGGCAAGGTCAGGGCCAATATAATCTCATGGGGTATGGTGTACTAGGGGACAAGTGCTGTAACAGAAAAGGGACATTTCCTTCGTCCTATTAGATGACATTCTTTAACTGAAAGGACCTGGAATGTCCCTTCCAGTAGGATCAAGTGGGATGGATAGAAACCTCTTTTTTCTTGCCACAGTTGTTAAGTGAATTGCTGCAATTAAGTGAATTATGTAGTTGTTAAGTGAATCCGGCTTGCTTCACTGCCTTGGATTGACAAAAGCGGGCTTAGAAAGTTCTAAATGGTGATCACATGAGCCTGGGATGCAGCAACCCTTATAAACACATGCCAGTTGCCAAGCACCCAAATTCTGATCACGTGATCATGGGGATGCTGCAATGATCGTAACTGTGAGGACTGGTTTAAGTCAGTTTTCTCAGTGCTGTGGTAACTTCATACAGTTGCTAAATGAATGGATGTATGTTCAGGACTACCTGTATCATATCTTCAGAGGCTTGCTGGGCTCTCTGGCTAGCAGAGTAGCTTCACAGAAAACAGTATTTTTTTTTTCACCATGGTTTCTACTTTTCCTTCCATTCTGTTTCAATGGCCTCTTACCTCTGGCTTCTTCCAAAGCCAAAAGGTTGACCTGAGGAAGCTCCAATTTCCCTCCAGATCCTTGTACTCTTAATGTCCGTGTCCAAGACTCCCTTTTCACCACTCAAGCAGTTTAAGCCTTTCAGATACAAATCTGCCAGCAGCCCGTTTGTTCTTCTGTCTTTTGGTGGGCTTTTGTGACAGCACCAAATGTTCATCTCAAGTAATTGTTTTCAGGACCACTGGACTCTTGATGTCCTCCTCAGAAGATAAACTGAAATGAAGGTGCTTCTGGGCACATCCATGCTAATGTGCCAAAACAAAACAAAAGCAGCATGGTTCCCAACACATCCTTGACCGTGTTCAGAAGAACCAGGTGTTGTGAAAAAAATATTTACAGAGCATGAATAGAACCTTTAGAGGTTGGTGAGGACTTTGTAGTTTTGAGGCTGAAATTTCTGGGACTGAAATGGCAAAAGTAAATTTGTATTTTAGTGAACCGTCAGTACAATGTAGTCTACACATTGGGTTTTTTTTTCTGGAGGAGCGAGTGTTTCTTTATCTTTGGTAGAGCTAACATTTCAGGAAAAAAAGACTGACATATTCCTGGATGGATTGGTGGGCTCTAAGGATACCAGACATCCATGTGTTCTACAACCATAGATTCATAATACTGGAGACGTTCTTGTAGAGCCATTTCTGCTTAACATATGGCAGTCAACTTCTACTAAAATATTTCTATCAACGCTAGATAGGCCAGAGAGTGTGCAGAGCACTAATTTGCTCACAGTCATCTCCCTTTTCACCTCATTATTATTATTATTATTTAAATCAAAGGGGCACATTAACACACAGTTGATCTTAACTTCCAAGACTGCTTGTGGGATAGGTTGCATCAAACATTTCAGAAAATAAAAAATGACAGGAAAATTGCAACCCAAAACTCTTTGAAAAAGTCAGCTGACTTGCCAGGGAAATTTCTACTGAACTGCATTGGAGGGGAGGGTTGGTTGTTGTTGTTGTTGTTGTTTGTTTTCCAATCTCTTTCTCTCTCCCAAAATTTCCTGCCTCTGAACTCATCTCCACCTCCAACGCCTTGCGCTGTTTGTCCTCATCCTGCCCTCTTGCTCTGCCTTGATGGGAAGGCAGCTTACCACGTTGTCAGCCTGGAGCCATAACTGTGGTATTTACTGGAAGAGACACTGAATTTGGGGTTTTATTTACTACAATTCTTCATGCTTTGCTTCCCAGATGCTGTTTGTGTAGGAGTACAGAGACTGTAATGAAACACTGATGTTCTGTGGTTTACTTGAATTGCAGAGATAGCAACAGTAGCTGCTCTTTTCATTTTCTTTTCCTTTTCTTGCTACTACCTAATGAACGTGGTATCATTGTTAGACATTCCAGGAACAGAGCAGATGTTGTGCTGCTTCACTGACTGATCTCATCTATTTTTTGACCTGAATGTCGCTATTCCGAAATTCTACTTGCTATAGAACCCATGACCTCAAATCAAGAAAATATCATTGTTCTAGAAATGTAAAAAGTTGAGAATTGATTTTAATGTCTGATTTTACTGCAACAGAGAGAGTTGGAAGTCAATACCTTGTGTTTCTTCCTCCCCCTTTCTTCACACCATTTTTGCTTTCCCTTTTCTACTGCTGTCCTCTATTATTTGCTTTTGTATTTTCACATTTTATGTTATAAATGAATAAAACTAAGAAAAGAAAGAAAGAAAAGAAAATATTATTGTTCCTTCTAGAAATATCTCAGGGGCTGCCACAAAGAAGAGGGGATCAACCTATTCTGCAAAACAGCTGGAGGCAGGACAAGACACAATGGATGGAAGCTTATCAAGGAGAGAACCAACCTAAAACTAAGGAGAAATTTCCTGACAGTGAGAACAATTAATCAGTGGAATATGTTGCCTCCAAAAGTTGCAGGTGCTTCCAACATTGGAGGTTTTTAGGAAGATATTGGACACCATTTGTCTGAAATGGTATAGGGTTTCTTGTTTGACCAGAGGGCTGGATTAGAAGATCTCCAAGCTACCTTCCAACTCTATTATTCTGTTATTGACCTACGTTATGGATATATACAGGTTCATTCATTCAAACAGGTCTCTTTCTGGATACAATTTACCCCAGGGAGGCACAGAGAATAAACTGGGTCTGTTGATTAGAATTTTATAGTTTGCTTGAAATTTGACTCTTTCATGGGATGAGCAGAAGAGGGCTTGAAAAAATCAGTGCCATCTTAAAGACTAAAATTGCAGTTTTTTGCAGATAGTCCCACGCAATCAGTGGATATCAGTAATACAGAATGTCTTAAAAGGGGCAATAGAACTAGCCCTATTTATCCAATCTTCTGAATTCAACAGGCTTCCTACCTAAATTAAAGAATATCTGAAACTTCCTGAAACTTTCATGCTGTTTTATTGTAAGTATGGAGGCAACTTCACACCGATTATATTAACTCAGTGGCCAAGCAAACATGACTGGAAAATGGAACGAGTGCATTGAAAAAAATAGGAACGGAATGAATGAATGTCAAAAAAAAAAACAAAAACTAAAGAGCCCATTATATTTCGGTACAGTAGGTAGAAAGTGTCAGGCAGATATATTAATCTTGGGTAATTATATCATTGTAAAATATATTGGTATCATGCTGCGAAGTTGTGCATTGGAATACATTTTTGGCACACACGTTTGTGTGCTATCACATTTAAAGGAAATCAACTACCATGGCTTGATCTGTTGCACATTGTTTATAAATACATGGATCAATCTGGTACTTCAATCAACATGAAGAAAAAAGGAAATTCTACAGGTTTTTAAAAACCACTTTTCTTGAATTGAATTGCTTGCCTTTTGGAAGGAAGCATTCTCTCTTCTTTCTCTCTGGTCAGGGGAGAAGATTATTTCAAGTCAAGATTCTTGGTGGATTTCCCCCCCCCTCTACACTGATGTCTAATGAGGGTAAAATGAAGTCTCCTCTAAAACTGCACAAGGAATCGAGGAAGATTAGAAATCCTACAGCTGGGTTCTTTCTAGCTCTATTTAAGAATGACGGCAGATCCCAGACACCCTTTTAATTTCTTTTTCCTTTTTAAAAAAATTATAGCTGTTCTTGGGGATTACTGCTCTCTGGTATCTGAAAAAAAGTTCTCTCCAGATCATGAGCCCTGAACTCATTGGTTGAAGCTGACAGAATACCTTCCCCCCCCCACATAAGACTCTCTCTCTTTCTCTCTCTCTCTCTCTCTCTCTCTCTTTCTCTCTCCCTCCCTCTCCCTCTCTCTTTCCCCCCTCTCCTTCTCTCTCCCTCTCTCCCTCCCTTCCTCTTCCCTCTCTCCTCAGTGCAATACATAAAGAAATCCTTATCTTTAAAAAATGGGAATTGCAGATCCATGCATATCACCCTAGAGGTGAGAATCATTTGAGTAGAATTTAAAACAGATCTTGATCCCTCTTCCTAGTGTCCTGGATGCTGCTTTGAAAAGGTTCCTATTCAAAGCTTGGTGTTCAGCTGGAGGGAATACATTTCCACGACCCTACATTTAATTTCATTTAAAGCAATGAATAAATACCATTCTATTCCCAGTTCACTCTTCATCCTTTAGAACAAGGCTGAAGTTGACACATTCAATAAACTCTTAATATTCTATCCACCACCAACTTCTTATGTTAGGGCGACTTGTTGTCTCTTTTCAATTGGAACAATATGTGAGTGGTTTTTGTGCTAATCCTTAGAAACCTATGAAAATTCTTCCATTTAGATCAAGTCACTAAGGCAACGTTGTCAACCTGGATTAGGAGAAGCTTCATTTCAAGATAGCAGTCAGCCTAGAAGCTGTCTGGAGATGTCAGAGTGAAACTGGGATTTCCTGGGTGCAAAACAGGTGCTCCAGCCCTTCCATAAACTACCTGTTTATTTTAATGTTACTTACGCACTAGCTTTCTTTGTATATCAGGCCAGCTGTCCCAGTTTTGGTCTCCTTTAAACATGCTGGACCAATGGACAAGGACTGATAGGGAACGAAGATCAATTTCTAGAAAGTCTCAACTTGGGACAGGCTGCTATTGCAAGGCAACAGGATATTGGAATAAACTAGCAACTGGTTATAACAGTGTTAGCTAAATATTAAAGGAACATAGCAGATAGTCTTGCTCCTTATTAATTGTCAGTCTAGCCAATCTATCTCCTTATCAATTGTCAATCATCATACATGAAACTATGATGTCAGGGGCATAATGCTGTAGTTGCACACATGAGGTCACTCGCCTTCTCCTACAGATGCCCATACATCTAGACCATTAGGGTGTACCCATTGTTATAGTTTTCCAATATCCCACAGAAATTGTCATTTTTATATTTTGTAATTCTTAACTGCCTATCTCCCTCAGAGTAGGGCTCTGAGTGGTATACAATGTAATCGTATGATAATGAGTTTTATACGCTATGCTTGATCCTACTAATCAAAACTTTGGAGCAGGGGTCTTCAAACTTGGCCCTTTTATAACTTGTGGACTTCAGCTCCCAGAATTCCTCAGCCAGCATGCTTTAGAGTTATAGGTTGAGATTTGAAGGAGAGAATCTTAGATAGTTGTGCCCTTAATGTCAGCTGTGTAGATATTTGAAAACACAAGGCAGTATTTCTTCAAACCATTTTCATGAGGGGTTCTTGGTGCTGTCTGAGCTTGGTTGTTTTCTTGCAGATGTTTCACTACCCAAATTAGGTAACATCATCGATGTTACCTAGTTTGAGTAATGAAACATCTGCAAGAAAACAGCCAAGCTCAGAGAGCACCAAGGACCCTCATTTCAACCTTGAGCTACATATATTCTCCTTTATTGGCATGCATTTTCAATTGATGGCATTCATTGGTGCAAGATGGCAGCTTATATGGGTTTAAACGGCTTGGCTAGTATGTGGAGATATTAGTAACAAAGGTTACTAGCTGTAACAGCCATCTCTCTCTCTCTTTCTCATCTTTTTTCCTCATCTTTCTCCCAAAGTGTTTCTACCATCATGTTCAACCAACCTCATGAGATAGGTAGTGTGATAAGGATTGTGTGCAATCAGTTGCACAATGAAATTATTTCCCTTTGGGTATATTTCGCTGAGCGTTCAGTCCAGCCAACACTGATGAAGCAATTAAAAAGCTCTGTTTCCTGCATGCCTCTAAATGTTCAGCCAAAAGATTTAGAGTGATTGATGATGTCAGAGACAATTGTGTGCCACAGAACAGGGACCTGTTAATGAGCTTGATTTGAAATGATTGGAAAACTCTGCTCTTCAAGATTTATACTGGGATCTAAGTTGAAACTGGTAGAGCTTTAAGAAGGATAAAATCTGGGTAAATGGTAATTAGTTCAGACTGACCAGTGAGGGTGGAAGAAGTGGAAATCAATAATATTGCTGGACATTGGGAAAGACTCCTTTCCAGATGGAGAGGAAAAAAAATAGTTGAACTATTGTTCTTTATTTTATATAGACTCCTTGTCCCCCTATGGTTACCTAAAATTTGGACCAAAGTGGACTTCTTTTCTTGTTCCTCTTTCTTCTCCCAACCCCCAATTTCTTTGCCTTTGTCTCTTAATAAGCAGACTCCATAGCTTCAGGATTCCAGCATGGGCTTCCTGAAAGAGAGACTTCTCTATGTGAAGTCTCATTAATGTGGACTTAGGGCCAGCTTGGGCTCCCCAACAGTGTCTGTTTCCTCATTATAAGCCGTGCCTAGTTAGAACAATCACTTCCAACTCTTGACTTGACTCAGAAGTGGATCTTGATTGCAAACCAGTCTTCAGAGAAGCTGATTGTATGAAAAAAAAAAATTCAGGTCTCTTGTTTTGACAGCTTCAGGGAGTTAGGGGGAAGCAGAGAACAAGAGGGCAAGAAATACTCACTTAATGTGACATTTTAAAACATTGTGACAGATTCCTTCCCACTTTGGGGCCTGCCTCAGTTGTATCAACTCCTCCCAAAGGCATCTTGTATTAAGGAAGTGACCAATGCTTTCTTTCTTTCCAAAGCAAAGATGAGGTTTTGTAAAAAGAGGTGTTGATAGTTGTCGTTCTTTGATGGGAAATATATCAAAACCAGCTGCTGAACAAGCCGGCAGTTCACAAACATTCACATTTGCATCTAATTTTCTTCCCATCCTGCCCTATTAGGCTTAGAACGATGGCAGTTGGACTATGATTTTCCCTTTTTTCTTTTTTTGGTTTTTTTTTATACAGATATTCCTTGACTTATGACTAAAATTCAGCCCCAAATGGTTACTAAATGAATGGTTGTAAGTCAAGGTCTACCATGTAAATATAACATGGATAGTTCCTATATGCCAAGCAGGAGTTGACTTACCAAGCTATGCTAGGGATTTGTGGATCTCACATAATCTGCCTTGATGAAGTCTTTTGGCCTATGGATTGTCATTTAGTTTTATAGGCTGCCTGACTTCGTTATGACTCAGTGGAGATTCTGCCTTGCTATGGTGAAAGGCTATAGGAGAAATTCAGCTCCATCTCAACAAAACCAAAAATGAGGGAAGGCTGCATTTAGCCTGCAAGCTGTCCATCCCGTGGCAATGTTCCACAAAGGACAACCGAGCTCATATAGGGTGACTTTTCTGTGGCCTCAGTTTTCCTTTGTTCCCATCCCCATGTTGTCTGTAATTATAATTCAGTCTAAACATTGCTACACCAAAGACATCCCAAATGGGAGATTTCTTTGGATACCGTTCCAGAGACACAGCTGGAAACTTTTTAGGAAGTTCAAAATTACGTTTGCTTTAGCCATTTAACACAAACAAACAAAAAAGAAAAAAAAAGAAAGATAAAGAAGACAAAGAGGAGGAAACAAAACTCATTCAGCAGGTTTCTTGTTCCCTTTTCATTACATCTACAATATTTGATCTGTTCTCGTGCAATGAAATAGATACTGGAATCCCATTTTTGAAGGCTGCTGATATTGTATCACTCCATTTTTTTTATAGGGGCTGAAACCTGCGACTTGTTTAACCAGCAAGGAAATGTGAAAGACACTGACTTGTATAGAGCCAAAATGCAAACAAAACCTTTTCCATTCATAGCAGAAGCTGAGGCCAGAGAACAATAAGACAATGGCACAGTAAGTAAATCGGAAAGAATATAACAAAATGACAAAATAACAGAAGAAGACTTTGGAGGTCTTCTAGTCCAATGCCCTGCTCAAGCAGGAAGCTTACCAGGGATAGACAACCTTGGCTATTTTATGACTCGTGGACTTCAACTCCCAGAATTCCTGAGCCAGCCAGCTGAAGTCTACAAGTCATAAAAGAGCCACGGTTGCCTACCCCTACCCTATACAAAGGCTTGTCCAATCTCTTCTTAAAAACCTCTAGTGTTGTTCTCTGGAGGCAAGTCAATCCACTGCTTTGCTTACAAGGAAAATATTGGGATCTCATGTTTTTGGATCTGCAAACTACAATCTGTGCATCTTTTTCTGAAAAGAATGAGCTAGATAGAGAGACTATACTGGACAGATATCCATGTCTTCCATCATTGCACAATCCTGTCTATCACGTGGGGTTTTGACATTTTTCTTTAGATACCATCAAACTTCGATATAGGGAGCCTAACATTTACATGGTGCTATTTACTGGAGTTCTTGCAGTTAGCACCACTCTAAAATTTTCTTATACTCCACACTGCTGTTCCAACAATAAACAAATCATTACTGAGGTCAGAGAGCAAAGTCTGGTTGTTTTATATTCCCTGGTTTTACAAACTGACTTGCTCCTCTCTTTAAAATACTTGCATGGATTGTAACTCTATATATGGATTTGTACCACAACTGAAAATTGGGTTTCTCTTAACACAAAACCTTTATTTGCTCCAACAGAAATTGTCGTAATTCTTAATTTCATGTTATTATTTTCACTCTGCTGATTACTGCTGTTGAAATTCGTATATTACTTGGATTTGTAGTTTTAATATATGAATTGTTAGGAATTTTAATTGAATTCTATGAAGCTTGTAGATAATCGTTTTGTCTTTTATTTTTCCTTTTTTTGGTCTCCTTTCCCTCTTTTTGCGGGTTCCTTTTCCATTTCTTAAAAATGTTTAAAAATATAGTTTTTTAAAAAATTAAATAAAGTACTTGTATGCACTTTAGATTGCTAAGAAACCAAGGAAATGAAGCCAAGATTTCAAAGGAAAAGAGAGATTCCTCTTGGTTTTTTTCCCCGAATTCACATGTACACACAAACACCTTATCCTGGGATCCTAGGAACCAAATACTTGGTAATAAGAGTCAAATCACATTTCTGCAGCATTTGCAAGGATTTTCTTTCTTCCATTTAACTTGATAGTAACTCTTAGACAAAATTAGACCCACTGAGAGAGGCGTCTACTACTAACATATCTGTGCTGCGCCATTAAAAATCTTTCTCGGGCCAGCTCAATCAAATCCATACACCTGGAGAAACTAGTAAATATCTGAAATTCTTCTGAAGCAAATGCCGTTCACCTCGGAGATTCTTGAATGGCCTCCTGATGTAGCCATGATTATAGCGACAGAGTTTTAATTTAGACATTCTCATTTGTGGGAGACAGAAGAAGAACTGGCCCTGAGGATACATTAGCACCCCACTATGTAGGTTGAAAGGTCAAAACCAGCTTTTGCCTATTAAGGTAAAACAGAAAGGCACCCATTCCAATCATGAACAAAATTGTAAAACTGCATAGAAAAGATTCTAATAGTAGACTGGGAGTTTTTTAAAACTTATCCTGCTGTTGGTATAATCAGTATAAAAAAAGGTAAAGGTTTTCCTTTCAATCATGTTTGATGCTAAGGCACAATGCTCATCTTAATAATAATAATAATAATAATAAACTACAAATAGAAATAGAAAGACTGTGGCAAAAGCAAGCAAAGGTAGTACCAATAGTCATAGGCGCCTTGGGTGCAATCCCAAAACAACTGGAGCACCACTTGAACACCATTGGCATTGACAAATTTGCTATTAGTCAATTGCAAAAGGCGGTCTTACTAGGAACTGCTTCCATCCTGCGACGATACCTGTAATACCATCAAACATCCACATCTGCCTATCCCAGGTCCTGGGTAAGGACACGATAGGTAGACAAAATGCCAAATCCAGTCTGAACATCTGGCTGACTGTGCGATGATCAATAATAATAATAATAATAATAATAATAATAATAATAATAATAATAATAATAATAGTAACAGTAGTAGTAGTAGTAATAGTAATAGTAATAAAGTTGGAAGGGATCTTGGAGGTCATCTAGTCCAACCCCCTGCTCAGGCAGGAAACCCTATACCATTTCGAACAAATGGCTGTCCAGTCTCTTCTTAAAAACTTCCCAGTGTTGGAGCATTCACCACTTCTGGAGGCAGGTTATTCCATTGGTTAATTGTTCTAACTGTCAGGAAGTTTCTCCTTAGTACTTGGTTGCTTCTCTCCTTGATTAGTTTCCATCCGTTGCTTCTTGTCCTGCCTTCATGTGCTTTGGAGAATAGCTTGACTCCCTCTTCTTTGGGGCAGCCCCTGAGATATTGGAACACTGCTATCATGTCCCCCCTCATCCTTCTCTTCATTAAACTCTTCATCTCCGTTTGTTGGCCAAGGGAGCCAATGTTGTCCGAAGACAATTTCCATGGTCTTGTGGCTATACACCAAGGTACAGGAAATGCTGTTACTTTCCCACCGAAGTGGTACCTATTTATCTACTCGCATTTGCATGCTTTTGAACTGCTAGTTGGGCAGGAGCTGAAGCAAGGAATGGGAGCTCACTCTTGTCATGCAAGACTCGGGTCTCAAACCCAGGCTATCAGCGTTCCAGCTGATAAGGTCAGCATCTTTAACAGTTGAGCCATCATGCCCCCTTATAACCAGTTTAGATACACTCTCATTAAGCATAGTTTCATGATGGTAAATCAACAGTATTTCTGAAAAGGTAGGATTGCAGCTTTCTCTTATCTGGGTCTTTATGACCCAACCCACCTTAGTACATGCTGGCCTAAAGTTGCTGCTGAGAAAGGAATTTTGCCGTATAACTAATTTTGCTCCATAGCTGGTCATTTTAACCTACCACACAAGATTTGTTTGGAGAATGCGTTGGGAAAGTGAATACTACCAGCTTTGACTTTTAAACAAGCTTTTAGAAGGCTATGTTGAAGTTACATATTTTTTTTCTCTCTTAAGGCTGGAACAAATTGAGAGATTGCAGGTTTCAAATACGAACCTTGAGTTCCTGTTGTCCTAATGTTGAATTTGTAGGAACCTTCATGAACCATCTGGGGGTTTGGTTTGAACTGAAAGTTGACATAAAAAATAAACCATAATTTATAACCCTGGGTCAATTTCCCTCTCCTTTTTAGGAACTAAAATTAGCTCTCTTCCTTCTTTTCTGACATCTGCAACAGACTTTCCTCTCACATCAACACAAACCAGATTCCTTGGCAGGTGTTACATTTTAATGACTTTAAATCCTACAATGGGTCTTCTGATTCACCCTGTTTTTCCGCCTTTGTGGTCTTCAAGCACAATTCTGTGGGTTAATTAACCATTGTCTTGTTTTAATTATGTGCTTACATGAGCCCAGAGGCCAGGCAGTGTGTGTCTGAACCACCCTAGGAAGGGAACAGAAGTTTCAACCTTCATCAGCAGTGGCTTAGGAATGAACCATTGTGACGATAATTATGGACAAAATTTTCCCAAAACTTAAAATGACTGACTCAAGCAGACAGAAACAAATCAATCAAAACAGTGTGTATTCTTACTGAAACCTATAAAGATTTGGTAAGGAAAAAGGAAAGTTTGTGCATCCTGAATGTGTATCAAAGACACATGTCGTTTTTTGGTTTTTTTTTTTAAAAAAATGTCATGTTGGGTTCAAAGAAAATGAATAACCTTTTCCTGCAAGTCTGGGGTGGAAAATGAAAAATTCTGGAAAGGCAGTTTCCATGTGATTCCTTTTTCCGCCTCCACACAACCCTCCCCCTTGAGAGTCACAGAGAAAAAAAATGGCAAACTTTCTTTTAAAAATATCCTCAAGGTACAAAAGCAAAACGAATGTTAAAGAAAACAATAAATCAACATAAATTAACAAACGTCTGGGATAAACATCCAAAATAGATCCAAAAGCCATCTAGGATTGCCATATAAATTAAACAGAGATGTTTAACCTTGACTACAGCAGGGTTGAAGGCTAGGATTAAAAAGAGGTCAGTCACAATCAACATATAGTAAGATTAATATTAATATAAAATAAAGCCAGCAACTTATACAATTCCTCCCCTTCAGCGTTAGTAATTAATAGGCTGTATGCCAGATATGTATATGGGGATAGTGTTTATTTATTTTCTTTATAAAAATGTCTGTGTGCTGCTTTTAATAGGTTTTTTTTGTCTTCAAATCAGTCTTGACTCTTGGCCTACCAGAGGTTTTTTTTGGCAAGATTTTCAGAAATGTTTGCCTTTGCTTTCTTTCTGGAGCTAACAAAGAGGGATTCACCCCAAATCCTCCACCTGGCTTCAAGTCGAAGGCAGGACTAGAATTCACCATCTCCCGGTTTCTAGGCCAGTGCCTTTAACCACTATACAAGTGGTGTCCAAACTTGGCAACATTAAGACCTCTGAGTTTCAACTCTCAGAATTTCCCAGCCAGCCATTCTGAATTCTGAAAGTTGAAATCTACAAGTCTTAAAAAAGAAACTGAAGTCCACAAGTCTTAAAGTTGGACACCTCTGCACTATACTAAACTGGCTTTCTTCTTGTTAATATTGTGTTTATCAGTAAAGCATTACCTGAAGCTGGTCTCCAACTCAGCCACCACCTTGCCCTGGTTCAATAGTCATCAACTGGGAAAGCTCATAGCAATAGCAATAGCGCTTAGACTTATATACCGCTTCACAGTGCTTTAAAGCCCTCTCTAAGTGGTTTACAGAGTCAGCATATTGCCCCCAAGAATCTGGGTCTTCATTTTACTGACCTCGGAAGGATGGAAGGCTAAGTCAACCTTGACCTGGTGAGAATCGAACTGTTGAACTGCTGGCAGCTGGCAGTCAGCAGAAGTAGCCTGCAGTGCTGCATTCTAACCATTGTGCCACCACAACTCTTTTTAGCCAAGATACCCACTTTT